TCGCTCCTCCTCCTCCTCCTCCTCCTCCTCCTCCTCCTCCTCCTCCTCCTCCTCCTCTTGCTCCTCGCTCGCCGCGACGGGTAGCCGGGCTGTGGGCGGGGGCTCGGGGCAGGCACCAGAGCAGGGGCAGACGGGAGGAGGCCCGAAGGTGCAGCGGTGGGGACGAGGGAGTGAGGGCGGCGCGATCTGATGCGGAGGCGTGCCGACTCGTGCGCACGAGACCCGAAACGTTCTCTCAGGGTCAGGGCCCGAGCGGACTCACAGACACGCGCGCTTGTATCGGCGAGCACAACAGGGTAGCGCGAGGGGGCGGACTGTCAAGACGACTCCCTGCTTTTTGACACTCGCTCACCTGCCAAGGAGCTTTCGACCATGCCTCCAAGAAGGGGATGCGCCCTTCTAAAAAATCCCCTGCCTTCTTAGGCATTGCCCCCTTTTGCCTCACCCCATTGTGCGCGCCGCCTAGCTTTGCAAGCACACCGTGCTCGATGGATGCTAAGCCTCTGGCAAGCGGAAAAGTGGCAAAGCGCCAGCGTCTAACACTACATTGCTCTGACCTCGTCTTTTCCAGCCCTTCAAACTGCAACGCCCTCTGCCTGTATCGGACATTTAGATGTGTATGCACGAGACTGCCAGGATCTCAAGGTTTCTCCCCCCTCCCTCCTCCCGCCCCCCCGCCTCCGAGGGAGACTCCCGCACACACACCGTGGATTTAATGCCATAACTCGGCCCTGTGGCAGCCGTTCGGAACGATCCGGGCACCCCCGGCACGCCCTCGGTGAGACGCAGCCGATGGAACGCATCCCGAGGCTGGAAAACCGCCGAGAACCGACAGAACACCCTCAGCCCAAGATCTCGGACCCCGAACCCGAGACTCTCCCCCCATCCCCCCATCCCCTTCGAGGAGACTCTGGGCCAGGATCTCCAGGTCCCTCCTCGCCGCCGCCTCCCGCCGCAGGCTTCGGCGAGGCCTCGCGCTCCTGTGGCTGGGCCGGCCGGCCGGCGGCGTCAGTCGAGCACCACGGCCTCCACGGCCTCGCGCTCGAAGGGCGCCGCGGACGGGGCCTCGGGCTGCGGCGGCGGGGGGCGGCCCGGTGGGCGGAGGTGCGTTGGGAGGGGCGTGGGCAAGGAGGGGCCGTGCAGCCATGCGGAGGGACACAGCGATCCTGCCCCTCCGCCCGCTCCCTCCCCCCCCCCCTCGCTGCCTCCTCCCCTCCCCGCCGGGCGGGGGCGGGCGGGGAGGGGAAGGGGCACGGAGGAGAGGGGGCGGAGAGGGGGAGGGCGAGGGAGAGGGGACCCTGCAGCCTGCGGGAGACAGAGATCCCAGATGCTCGCCATCGCTCGGACGTCCATTCCCTGTGTTTTTTGTTGGTTTCGTGCGTGTTTTTTTCGCCAACTGATCAAGGATGCTCCTCGATGGCCCTCGCTGAGAAAAAAACGCACATGTCCGAGCGATGCCAAGTGGCCCCGGTCATGATAACCTCCAGGAAACATCTCCCTCCTGCCGTGTCGCCCCCCGAAAGACCCCCCAAAAAAAATCCAGAATCCCCCAATGTCTTACGCCCTCCTCATCCAGTCCACGGTCTCCAGGTCCCATAGGCCCCTCGAGGCTGCCGCATGCACCAAAAAGCCTCCTGAGAGGCCCAGAAACCCAGAAGGGGCAGAGCAAACGCATCCAAACACAGATTTCCGACTCTCGAAAGTCCTCCCCTTGCGTACGTAACTGGGGAAGTTGATGAGAAGGCAGCCGACCGAGCTGGCAAGCGGACCTTCCCTCCCACCCATGCGCCTCGAACGCGTTCGCATGCGATCTCCAGGTGGAGGGAGACTCCTGGCACGACGGCGGCTGATCCTCCCTCCTTCCCTTACTTCCTCCTCTCCTGCCTCCTCCCCCCTCCTCCTTTTTTCCCTCCTGCCTGCCGCCTCCTGATTTATCCGCCACCGTGCCTCTGGCACGAAGTGGAGCACCTTCACGTGGGCTCATGCGACACTGCGAGGCAGAGGCTGTGCTGCTGCTGCAGCCTGAGCTGTAAATCTTGAGGGGCCTGCACCAGCCTTTTCCCGCGCCGTGACGGGGCGTCCTGGGGTTTCCCGGGCTGCCTTCCATGAGTTCTGGGGTAAGTCCTGCAGGTCCTCTGGGCGTTGAGCCCGCCCACAACGGTCCAAGAACACCCCGACTTGCCGAAACACAATTCACACGTCGTCAATCTTCCCGAGACGCTCCCAAACACCTCTAAGACGAGCCCTCCAAGAGGCCCCTGAGAGGCATTCCAAAAGGCCCTCGTTTTCATCCAAGCAGCCCTTGGCCCACAACCCAAGCGCGTTGGCGGGTTAGGCCGACGGCCACTAGAAACTTCCCACGAGAGTCGCAGTCTCAGACTCTTTTTGCGGGTCGGCGGAATGACGTAAGCCATTTGAATATCCTAGAGGTCGAACCTCCCTGATGTCGCTTCTCCACCCGCCCGGCCCCCAACATCCCAGACGCCCGACGTCGTGACTCTTCTTTCTCGCGGCGTGGACGCCCAGAGCTCTGGACAACACTCCCACGGCTCACTTCCCAGCCCGAGTATGTTCTTGATGGTTCAGGTAAAACAGGGCTAAGATCGGGATAAATCGCCCCAGAGCGTTCCGGAGCGCTCTCAGAGCGTTCCGGAACGCTCTGGAGCGGCCGCGGCGCCCAATACATCCTCCAAACCCGCCGATTCTCAGAGATTTCGAGTTATCCCGATCCGATTTTGTCCCGATCTTCGCGTCGTTTCATCAGGGGCCCTGGCACGGGGCCCCAGCGGGGGCCGCACGGGGCCGGGCACCCCCGCCGGGTGCGGCACCTGCCCGCTCTGTGCCTGTCCCTGGCGCCATCGAGGTCCCCCTCCGTCGCCCGCCACGCGCGTTGGGGCGCGTCGGGGAGGTCTGTCGCGGAGGAGGTCGGTCAAGCCGCCGTGAGCTTGCTCGCGGCGCCAGGGGATCCGGCGCAGCGCGCCGCCCAGCCTCTCAGGCAACTGTAGAGAAGGGAAAGGGCGCGCAGACGAGGGGGGAACGCACGTTGCCCCAAACGAGGCAAGTGGAAGCGAAACCGCTCCTCACACAGAGTAGGTTGCTCGAGCTGAACGTTCCATGTCAGGCGGCGGCTCTCCCATGTCTGCGGCGCAACTCCCAACGTGGCCATCGGGTTGCGCCGCGAGCGTATCGCGCGGCAGCCTCCCGCTCAGACATTTAGCTGCGCAGCACAAGTGGGCGGCCAAAAGCTGCAGTGCATGGGAGTGCTTCCAACGTTGAACGTTGCCCCACACTGCCGCGGTGGACCAACAAGTGGTTCCAAGGTGGGGGCCAAAGGATTGTCGAGCATACGGTCTGTCACGCGAGACGTGCAAGCTGTGGCGCCTCATGGTCTCATTTTCATCCTCCTCTTCTCCATATCACCATCATTATCCTCATCATCTTCTTCAACATTGTTATACATGTGGACGATACCTTCGCGATCTGCGGATATCTATGAGAACTGCCAATCGAAAGAAAAATGCCCCCCCCCCCCCCCCCAAGCATGGCCCTCGAAATTCCAGCCCGTTCCCAGCAGGCATGGGCTTGAAACTTCGGGGGGCCATACTTGGGAAGCATGTGTTGGTGCCTTTTCCGATGTTATGAGGTGGTGAGGCTGCACTGTGTTGCGCAGCCTGCGGAAGGCCAGCCTGCTAAACTCTGCTAAACCTTGCTAAGCCCTGGCAAACCCTGGTAAGCCCCTGAGCATAGATAGGCATTGCAATGCCCTGCTCAGCCATCGTAAGGTCTGCTAAGTCCTGCTAAGTCTTGGTCAGACTTGGGAAGCCTTGCTAAACCCTGCGAAGGACAGGCAAGCTCTGTCAAGCCTTGCGAGGATTTGCCCAGCCTTGGCATGCCTTGTCAAGCCTTGCGAAGGCTTTCTGAGCCTTGTTCAGCCTTGGCAAGCTTTGCTCAGCCCTGCTAATCCTTGTCAAGCTTTGCTGAGCCCTGCGGGGCCCTGCCAATACTTGGTCGGTCTTGCTAAGCCTTGGTAAGCCCTGCAAAGCCCTGCTAAACCGTACTGGGGCCGACCAGCCACTGCTAAGTCCTGGCAAGCTCTGCAACACCCTGCTGAGTCCTGGTGCGCCCTGCTGAGCCCTGGCATGTTTTGATATATCCTGCTTGGCTCGGCTGTCTCCGCCCCCCCCACGCTTGGCAAGCCGTGCTAGATAGGCCTTGCTCGGCCTTGGCAAGCCTTGCGAAGCCCTGCTAAGCCTTGCTCAGCCGGGGCGAGCTTTATTAAGCCCTGCCAAGCCTCGCTGAGCGTTGCTCAGCCTCGGCAAGCTTTGCTCAACCCTGCTAGCCCATGTAAAGCCTAGAGATGTGCTGGGCTTTGCTGAGCCCTGCTGGGCCTAATAAGACTTGGTCGGTCTTGCTAAGCCTTGGAGGGCCCTGGTAGGCCATGGCCTGCTAAGCCCTACTGAGGCCGGGCCCTGCTAAGTCCTGGCAAGCTCTGCCAGGCCTTGGTAAGCCCTGGTGCGCCCTGCCGAGCCCTGGTAAGCGTTGTGATGCCCTGCTGAGCCCTGCTGAGCCCGGCTTAGCGTGGCAAGCCTTGCGAAACCCAGATCAGAGTGGCAAGCCTTGCTAAGCCCTGCGAAGCCTCGCCGAGCCTTGCTCAGCCTTGATAGGCTTTGCTAAGCCCTGGTGCTCCTTTACGCTCTGCTGAGCTTTGCGGAGCCCTGCGAAGTCTGGCTAAGTCGGCGCACGCCCTGCTGAGCCCCTGGCAAGCTTTGCCCAGCCCTGCCAAGCACTGCTAAGCCTTGCTAAGTCCCGAGAAACCTCGTCGGCACTTGCGCCTGGATCGACCTGACCACGCTCTGCTCAACCCGGGTAAGCTCTGCATTAAGCCTTATTCCGATTAGCACGGGGGCCTTGGCAAAGACGGGTTCAGTAAACGTTCCCTCGTAAGGATGCCTGAATCAAGGGAACCTTTTGGAGATCGCCGTTTTAGTGAGTAGGCTCTACGGGCAAGCGTTCGTCAGTAAAGATGCATGTGTTTATCTAGGTATCCTTCGTAAGGACCCACTGCATGATCAATCAGTGGGAGATGTCTTCAAAAACAAACCCAGTCAGAAAGGATCCTTGCGGCGACAACGTGACCACCCTGGAGTAGGGATGAGAAGGGGGGAGTGGCAGAGCGAGGAGGGAGGAGGAGGGAGCAGGACGAGGAAGGGGGGTAGAGGGAGGGGGAGGTGGTAGAGGTAGAGAAGGAGGGAGAGGTGGTACGGGCAGGGTGTTATCTCCTCCCGCCCCCCCCCCCACAAAAACAACAATAGAGGCGGACGTCAAGATGTTTTGTTGTTGTTTTTTCTTTCGGGGGGGAAGGCAAAAGTCACCCAATCGTGGAAAGCGGGCGTCAAGATGTTGTTATTGCGGGGCGGGAAGAAGGACACATCCCACACACACACACACATACACACACACATACACGCACACACACACACACACGCAAACTCACACTCACAAACACACACACACACACACGAGCAGAACACAGAGAAGCAAACAAAAAAAAGCGAAGAGAAGGTTCAGTAGACCGCAAACTCCACAGTGACATGCCCTCCCAAAGTGCCCCCAAAGGGGCCCAGTACTGCATTGCCCTGAATTGAGCAGGGACCGACCGTCCCGGCATTCCTATAGTCATACCACGACATGTTCCTAGAACCCCAAAAAGCTCTAATATCAAAAACAATGTTCTTAGAACATAGACCCACGGTGTTATAACAAGACAGTCCCAGCCAGAAATGTTCTAAGAACATCTCGTGGGAACCACAAAAGGTTCTTAGAACATTGTTTGGTGGGGCTATAGGCGAGCCAGGACGCTTCGCCGCTGCTTGACTGAAGGGGTCCCAAAACAAGCATCCACTTTTTGGCGGGGCTCGTCGGCCGCGAGCGCGCGGCCCGGGCGTCGCCGCGCAGCCCCTCGGGGTCTGACGCTGCTCTATCAGCCAGACAATGCCACATGCTCCCAGCGCGCAGATCCCGCTGCGCAGTGCATCGCTGGCACAATCACCGCGCCGAACATGTCCAAAAAAATGCGAAACAAAGGATGGCCCCTCAAGGGTCCCTAAAGTATGCCAAGAGTGCTGTTGTCTTCACCCCCCACTTGTAAATCCCCCCATGCCATTCACCAGAAATTCCAGCAAGGATCGACCGTCCCGGCATTCCCATATGCCTACCACGAGATGTTCCTAGACACATCGGCATTCTCAGAACGAAACCATGCACCTGGAACCTCAACCGATGCATTCAAACAAGACTGCACCCGCCAGAAATGTTCGAAGAACACCTCGTGCGAACCACAAAAAGGGTATTGAAACAAAATCTGGCGCGCCTATGGGCAAGCCAGGACGCCTCGCCACTGCTTCAATGGGGGACCCAGGGCGGCTCCAGCGCCGCCCAATCTGGCGCGTCCAGCGCCGGCTCCGGCGGCTCCCGCGGCGCGGCTGGCGTCTCGCGCTCGGCAAGGGGCCTCGGCTCGGCCCCCGCAACCGACGGCGAGGACGGCGACGGCGACGGCGGCGGCGGCGGTGGCGACGACGGCAAAGGCACAGCTTTTTGGCGGCGCGCACAAGGGGGTGGGGGGGAGGGGGCAAGCCTTCTTAGAAGCACCCCTGCTTCTTAGAAGGCGCGGAACTGACATCTACAGACAAGGCTCGCGCTTTCCAAGGAGCAGGTGTGCTTCTAAGAAGCCTTCCCCCCTCCCCCTACCCCCATCTGCGCCGCGTGGCCGAATCTTAGCGCTTGGCTGGTAATGATGGGCCCTGCCGCAGTGAAACTCCCGGCCTGGCTTAGATGCAAACGAAAAGCCAGCTGCCTACGCCCCACTGACCCTTGCGATCGCGTCAAAACGCAGGAAAGGAAGTCATTTGACGATCGTTAGTGGGAAACTGGTAGGTCAAAAGCCGTTCGCGCGTCACGAGCAAACATTCAGCGGGACAAGTGCACGCGTGGGCCAGTAGTGGGCCATTATTAGCTGTGGCGACAAAAGTGAGGCGGGGGACATCCTTCGCAAGCGTGGGTTAAAAGCCACGAGACTTGGAGGCGCCAGAGGGGGGTCTGAGCTGGTTGACCTCCGATAAAATTTCAAGAGGGGGGATGAAAAGTTCAAGTGGGGGTCCCTGGACGCCAACCAAGGGTCCATTTGGTGCAATGTTTCACCCCAGATCCGTCATGGACGGTCCCGAGCCCGACAGAAACGGCCCAGCAGCCGTCTCCAAGCAAGGTCCCGAACCCGCAAACGGCCCAGCAGCCTTCTCGGATCCCTCATGGATGGCCCCGAGCCGAAAAAACGGAGGCAGAGAAGGCAAGCAGCCCTCTCGAACCCAGAACCTCGAGCCTCTTCTCCCCCCCCCTTCCCTGCTCGCCAGCACCGGCTCTGGGCCACCTCGGACCCCCACCCAGCTCCTTGGGTGTCCCAAGACCGTGTGGTGACAGACCCGGCGGTGACCTCGAAATCCGCAAAGACCTCACCGCACGGTCCGTCACCACACGGTTTTGGGACCCTGGAGGCTCCAGTCGCCCGAGACATCCTCGGAGAACGACCCAAGTCCCAAAACCGTGCGGTGACCCCGAACCCCCACCGACTCACCACACGGTGTGGTCACCACCCCGTTCGGGAGCCCCCACCCAGCTCCAGCACGAGACCCGCGATCGCTCGGCCCTCGGCCCCGGAGGGGCCGCTCTGGAGCAGCGACGGGCAGCGCGACTCGCCCGGACGTGGTAGGCCACGGGCGCAGCCCGGGGCCCAGGGCTCAGACGGCGGCAGGCGAGCAGGGGCGAGGCGCGGCGAGGCGGCGGCCCGGCGCCCCGGGAGGGAGCCCGGCGGTGGCGCCATGAGCGCCGTGGAGCGCACACGACGGCGCAGCTCCTCCTCCCGGAGCGAGGCCCGCCTGCCGCCCGCCTGCAGGCGCACGAGGGCGTAGGAGCTGGAGGGCGCGCCGCTCCCTGCCCTGACCTTCCAGAGAGCTATTTTTTGGCACTGGAGACCTAAAAACCTAAAAAGCTGAGCGAAACAGTCTAAAACCAAGACGTAGAATAGCTCTGGGATAGGTTTTTACGTCGGGTGCTATTTTTTAGCCCTCCTGGACGGTCATGGTGGAGAGGGGCAGCTCCCCAGCCCAGGCCGCGGCCCGGGTCCAAGCCAGTGGGGCAGGGAAGCGCCTTCCCCCAAAGGATGCGCGCAGGGCGCCCACCCCTGCGAGGCCAGAGCCGCTCGCCCAGCCCCGTCTGGATCGCCAGCCGCTGGCGCGGAGCGAGCCCGCGGAGCAGATCAGGGCGCCGCCATGGTAGGATAGAGGTCGTCACTCCTCGTGTTGGGGGCGGGTGAGTGGGGGTGGGGGTGGAAGGGGGGGAATCCCGCTTCCAGCGGACGCGGCCATTCTGCGCTCCCTTGCGCCGCTTCCTCGAGAAGGGCAAGGGCAACTCTCAGGCCCACTGCGCGGGGCGCGAACCACGAATACGGCGGAATCACGCCGCAATGCCGTCCGCGTTGATTCCTGACACGCGTGCATCGTTCAACCCTGAACAATCGCAGCTGTCCGAGCATGAATGCTGATGATGATGATGGTGGTGGTGGTGATGATGATGATGATGATGACGGTGATGATGATTATGATGATGATGACGATGATGATCATGACAAGATGATGACGGTTGTTATGGTGAGGATGATGGTAGTGATGATGGTGATGACGACGATAATGCTGATGATCATGATGATGCTGATGATGATGATGATGGCGATACTGATACTGATGATGGCGGTGATGACGATAACAATAACGATAACGATAACGATGCCGATCGCGCTGGTGATGCTGATGATGGTGGTGATGCTGATGATGATGATGCGTATGATGAGTATGATGATGATGATGGTGATGCTGATGGTGGTGCTGATGACAATAATGATGCTGCTGATGATGCTGATTATGTTGATGATGATGCAGATGAGAACGATGACGATGACGATGGCGATGATGATGATGCTGGTGATGATGATTGGGATGATGCTGCTGATGATGATGATGATGATGATGATGATGATGGTGATGACGATGCATGGCGATGGCCTCTACGGTGACGACGGCGATGACGATGCTGATGCTGCTGATGATGATGTACATAATGATGCTGGCGATGACTATAACGATAACGATATCGATGACGAAGACAGTGATGCTGGTGATGATGATGATGATGATGAGGATGATGATGCTGATGGTGTTGACGATGATGTCAAGTTTGATGGTTATGACAATGATGCGGCTGATGATATTAATGCTGGTGATGTTGCTGATGATGATGACGATGATGCTGCTGTTGATTATGATGATAATGATGATGCTGATGATGATGCGAGTGATAGTGATACTGATGCTTATGATGATGCTGCCGCTGATGATCATGATGCTGATGCTTAGCATTATGATGATGCTTGTTGTTACCAATATCATTTTTGTTCTCATTACGAACGGGAGCCCCGTGCCGCCAGCGGGCCGCGCGAGCACCGAGGCGCCCGCGTGCTCGGCGCGTGCGCGGGCGGCGCCGACAGCGGCAGCCGCCGCGGCGGCGCCCGCAGCACGCCCTCCGCGGTCTCGGCCTGGTGCTGGCGGGCGGGTGGGCCGCCGAAGATCGAGGATCCCGGACAGATGAAGCGGTCGATGCGGCTCGACGATGTTCTGACATCCACAGCTGCCACCAGGAAGACTGGATTGTGGTGAAAGAACGGTTTGATCTGGATCAGCAATTACGGCAGGTTCGTGTCGTGCCGACCCCAGCGTTGGTTTTTGACACCGCAGGGATCGTTCAACCTTGAACGATCGGCCGCTGCCGCAACGTCCGATCGTTCAACATCGATCGATTCTGGGTCGCCGGCGGCGTTCAAACTTGAACGTCCGCGCTGGGGTCGCCGCTGGTCGACACGACGCAAAGCTACCGTACATCAATCTTGCTCGAGATCTTGGACTCCTGCGGAGTCCATCCGAACCGTCGAGCTGCGCCTCGGGCGCCGGCTCCACGGGCCTCTCCTCCGGAGGCTCTTCTCTTCTGTGGGGTCGCCTCGCGGGCGCACCTGCCAGGCAGATAGGCGCACCGAGGGTCGAGGCTCCAGGCTGGAAGACGAACCGTGAGTATGCATCGAAGATCGAGGCTCGAGGATCGACGATCCTGGACTGGCGCGTGGGATCGAGGATCGAGGATCCAGGCTCGCCACCGAGGATCCAAGCCCTTGGGCGTGGTCAGGCCTCGGACTGCGCAGAGACAAAACACGACGCCCGACAACCTCGAACCTCGAAACCCTAACGTTGCCCCTGAAACCCTAGAAATATCTCGACGAGGCGCTACTGATGGAAACCACCTCGGGCTTCGGAACCTTCTGACAAGTATTAGCCAGCGCGGAACCCAAGCAGTGTTTTCTTGCAGTCTAGGCGGTGCAATCTAGATGGCGCAATCATTGTGTTGCAATCTAGGTGGTGCAATCCATGTGGTGCAATCTATGTGGTAGGACGCAATGCCAAGCAGTGCCAATCAATACAAACCAATGCCAAGCAATGCCAATCAATGCCAAACACAGCCAAGTGATGCCAAGCAATGTGATGCGACGCAATGCCAAGCAATGAAAATCAGTGCAGATTAATGCAGCCTTTCAAAGCAATGCCAAGCAATGCCAAGCAATGAGCTGCAATACCAAGCAATGCCAAACAATGTGATTCAATGCCAAGCAATGCGAAGTGATGCCAAGCAATGCAAATCACTGCCAAGCATTGCCAAGCAAAACAAAGCGATGGCAAGCAATGCCAAGCAGTACCAAGTAATGCATAACAGTGTAAATCAATGCAACGCAAACCGATGCCAAACAATGCCATGCTATGCAGAACACTGCAACGCAATGCAACGCAATGCAACACAAGGCAACGTAATCCTGTGAAGCAGCGCAGAGCAACGCCAATACCAAACAATGCCAGGCAGCCGGCGACGAGGCGATGGGCAGCGGCCCGCAGGCCCAGTTCTTTTGCAGAGGAGCACGAGCCCCTGAGTGCAATCACCGTTTGGGAAACTTCCGACAGCTCCCCCCCCGCTGAGCTCATCCTCCCCTCATCCCCGCGGCCCTTAAAAACATGTTGTTGTTTTTTGTGTTTTGTTTGTTCCTTACAAAATCCCCGCGGCCCTTTTGGGCGTGAGTGGTTTAGCGAGGTTCCTCTTCCAGCCCCCTTCTCCCCCTTCGGGGAGGGGGCTATCACTCTGTACCCTATTGATATGCGCCCCCTCTCCCAGGCGACCGGCAGCCAACCAGGAACAATGCTGACCCGATGCTCACACACAGCCGTCCTCGTTAAAAAACCATACAACATTCTGCCTCCAAATTCGGAGCATGGGCAACCAACCCGATGCGGGCCACCCCAAACCGTCCCCTTCAACAAACAATACAACATACGTTGTGGGACAAAGTCTTGAGTCATGTTCGTGAGGCACGCGAGCATGTTGTATTGTTTTGTTTCTGCCAGGAACAGCGAGGGTGTCAGCATATTGCCTGCAGTGCGCAGGGCCACCACCCTAGTCAAAAACAGTGCATAGTGCACCTCGCGGCTAAATCTGGATCATGCGCGGCCACCCCGCGATCACTGTCAAGTGTTTTTTGACACGGATGGCGGGGGTGGGGGCGTATGTCCGACTGTGCGCAGGCCCAGACACAATGATGGGCATTGTGTCTCGCGACAATGATGCGCAGGCCCACCAGACACAATGATGCGCAGGCCCACCAGCAACAATGGTGGGGGCCGACATGCTTCTCGAAATGTGCTGTCACTCTGCACGTGCCCCGAACGTGGCGCACCTGGCACGGCTGGAGTATGAGGCACATCTGGCGCACGTGGAGCACGTGGCGCATCTGGCGCACCAGGCGTGCCTGGCACGCTCGGGCCCCAGGGGTGCCTGGCGCGCCTGGCGCGCCTGGCACGCGTGGCGCACCTCGCCCCAGCGTCGCGCACATGGGGTCGGTTTTGGTTTCCAATAGCCCCCCATCCAAAGACGACCGCTGAACATGCTGAGGCTCGGGAATCCCACCAGCCCTCTGGGCGTCGGTGGTTTAAGGAGTTTCCTCTTCCACCCCTCCCTCTTCCCCTTCGGGGAGGGGTTTACCCCTCCCCCTACCCCCTCCCCACTGACCTGGACAGGGGGTTCCCCGGCGCGTTGGAGCGCCCAAGATCGACCCCTGGGAGGGCTAAAATTCGACACCCCTCACGAGGATCGTGGCTCCTGAGGGGGGGGCTGAAATTTAGGAACCCCTCTTCTTTGATCGATTTCCTCCACGATGGCCGCAAGAGGCCCCCAGGATGCCCCAAGAGGCCGCAGGATGGCCCCAAGATGGCCCCAAGAGGCCCCCCAAGAGGCCACCAGGAGGCCCCCAAGAGACCCCCAAGAGGCCCCAAGAGACCCCCCAGAGGCACCCAAGGTGCTCCCAGAGGCCCCAAGATGGCCCCAAGAGGCCCCAAGAGGCCCCCAGGAGGCCCCAAAGAGGATTCCGAACGGCCCACAGAGGCCCCCCCGAGGCACCCAAGACGCCGAAATGCCCCTCAGGACGACCCTCTACTCGCCTGGGCGTCGTTTCTGGACGGGCTGGTGGGGATACGCGAAGCGTCTAGAATTCTTTATGTTTCGGGAGGGTGGGTGGGAGTGAATAGGACGGCTTGCTATCTAGGAGGGTGTCTTGACCCCTCCCCCTACCCTCTCCCCCTGGGTCTGGAGAGGGAAAGTAGGTCTTGGTCGTGAAGTTTGACACTACGCCATGACACTACGCTAACTTCACGCTAACCGTAACGTAGTGTCGTAGCGTAGTATCACGCCCAAGTCTCTCCCCAACACTACGCTATGCCACTATGCTAACCGTAGCGTAGTGTCATAGCGTAGAGTCACGCCCATGTGTCCCAAACATTACGCTGTGACACGCTAGCCGTAGCGTAGTGTCATAGCGTAGTGTCACACCCAAGTGTCTCAAAACTACGCTATGGCACTACGCTAACCGCAGCGCAATATCCTCTGTCATTGAGCAGAGTCCAGCGAGGCAAAACCTAAGGAGAAGCAAAACCAAACAACAACAAACAAACTCTTCATGTTCCCTCCGCCTCAACCGTAGGGTTGTGTCATAGCCCAGTGTCACGCCCAAGTGTCCCCAACACTACGCTATGCCACTACGCTAACCGTAGCGTGGTGTCATAGCGTAGAGTCACGCCCAAGTGTCCCCAACACTACGCTATGACACTACGCCAACCGTAACAAAGAGGCCTCTTCGAACAAAATCCGAAGGAAAAACAAGCGACAAAAAAAACGACTCCTTCTCCCCCACCTCAACCGTGGCGTAATGTCACAGCGTAAGGCCGGGCCCAAATGTCCCCAACACTACGCTGTGACACTACGCTACCGGTATCGTGGTGTCCTCTCTCACGGGTCAGAGTCAAGCAAAACCCAAAGGAACAACAAACGAAAACAACGATTGCTTCTCCCTCCGCCTCCATCGTGGCGTAGTGTCCTCTCTCACGGAGCAGAGTCAAGCAAAACCCTAAGGGAAAGCAATCGAAGACAAACGATTCCTTCTCCCCCCGCCTCCACCGTAGCGTGGTGTCATAGCGTAGTGTCACGCCCAAGTGTCCCCAACACTAAGATATGACGCTACCGGTAGCGTGGTGTGCTCTCTCATGGAGCAGAGTCAAGCAAAACCCTAAGGATAAGCAAACGAAAACAAAAAAAACGTCTTCCCCGCCTCCACCACAGCGTAGTGTCACAGCGTAGTGTCACGCCCAGGTGCCCCCAACACTACGCTAGGACACTACGCTAACGATATCGTAGTGTCCTCTCTCACGGAGCAGGGTCCAGCAAAACCCGGAAAAAAACAATCGAAGACAAATGATTCCTTCTCCCCCGCCTCCACCGTAGCGTAGTGTCATAGCGTAGTGTCACGCCCAAGTGTCCCCAACACTACGCTATGACTCTACGCTACAGGTATCGTAGTGTCCTCTCCCACGGAGCAGAACAAACAAACAAAAACGATTCTTCTCCCCCGCCTCGACCGTAGCGTGCTGTCATAGCGTAGTGTCACGCCAAGGTGCCCCCAACACTACGCTCTGACACTACGCTAACCGCAGCGTGCCAAGTGTTCCCAACACTACGCTGTGGCACTACGCAAACCGTAGCGTAGTGTCACAGCGTACTGTCACGCCCAAGTGTCCCCAACACTACGCTGTGACACCACGCTAACAGTAGCGTAGTGTCACACCCAGGTGTGTTCAACACTATGCTATGACTCTACGTTAGGTTAGCGTAGTGTCATAGCCAAGTGACTTCAACACTACGCTATGACACTACATTAAGTTTACTTTCTTTACGGTTACGAATTCAACGTCATGGTTAAACTTAGCCCTTCTGGAGGGGGGGCACGAGGTGCCAGGGGGTCGTTTTCGGCCTTCGGCGAGGAGGCCAACATCATCTAATTTTGAATGTTTGAGCCGCACGTTGGTCTCCTTGGGGGCGGGTGCTGATTAAGAGGCTTCTGGCCTCCCTGTTCGCCCTCCTCCTCCTCATCCTCCTCGTCTTCCTCCTCCTCCTCCT